CCTATCATTGGGAAACCTTTGGCGAGCATGTAGATCGCCGCAGATCACTGCCTAGTGGAATGGCGGTTTAACATCTCCGTCAAATTGGTAGTTGGGTGATTATTCAAAACTATTGTCCAAGTCCTTGAAGAGTGAATAATAAGGGAAACAGCAGCATTGGGGCAATCGTTAGTCCAATAATTTTAAGGAATCTTTCACTTGCACAATCTATGCAGATACTGGTCTCAGATATTCGTTCGTTCTAAACTAAAGGACACTTTGTCACGTCGTCCTATACGACCTGCATCAGTTCTAAACATAATATTATAAACTAGTGTCCAAAAGAAACGATACCACCTGTTTGCAACGACATAAAAGAAAAACTAAACAATGCAGAAGTTTAGGATTGGTGTTATGCTTTTGAGAAATCCTTTCACAACATCTGTACAAAAATTTCATTTCAATAAAATCTGTACAACCAATATGACAAGCCTTTAAAGATGGGTGGGGTCGAAAAAAGAACATTTCGTTAGAGCACTGATCACAGAAACAACGGGAAATGTCACACCACACGTCACAAAGTCAAGTCAGTAGTGGGTATGTCCACCGTGAGCATCATTACATGCTAGAACACGCCTACGGACTGATGCCGTCAAACGTCTGATGACGTTGGGAGTGATGCGTTGCCATTCCTCGAGGAGACATCGTTCCAAGTCCTGGACGTTGACTGAAGGCACACGGCGACGTCGGATTTGCCGATCGAGGTGGTCCCATAAGTGCTCGATGGGATTCATGTCCGGTGAACATGGGGGGCATGGCAAAACCTGTACGTTGGCGTTGGCAAGGAAGTTCTGTGTCAATCTTGCTGTGTGTGGCCTTGCATTGTCATGTTGGAAAAAGAGTCCACGAGGCTGTTGCTGAATAAAGGGCACCACAACAGGCCGTAGGATGTCATCAATATAACGCTGTGCATTCAGGTTTCCACGAATTACGACAGGCCTCGTTTTGACGTCACCACATATGCCACCCCAAACCATTAACCCTCCACCTCCAAACGGCCGGACCTGTTGGATACAGTTAGGCGCCAAACGTTCACCAAATCGTCGGTATACAAGCTGCCGTCCATCGTTTTTGAAGATGAGGAATCTGCTCTCATCAGAGAACATAACATGTGCCCAGTCCCGCCGTTGCCAACGTCGAACTCGCCTGGCCCAGATCAGTCTGTTGTTCCGGTGTCGAGGCGTCAGGAGCGGTCCGCGGTAGGGATGACGTGACCGGATACCATACTGCCGTAGTCTCCTGTAGACGGTCTGTCGACTGATC